AAAAAAAAAAAAAAAAGGTAAACATTAATTCATTCATCTACAGATCTCCAAAATCCCTCAGATGATCCCACCCAGAATTTTCTTGGATTTATTCTAAACCCTCCCAGGAAGAACTTCAATCAGAAATCGCAAATGGTGTGCCTGTGCCGTGTCCTAAGTATCTGTGATCCAAAACCTCCTCCAGGTTCTGCTGTCTTTGGGGAGTTTCCCCTTGGCAATTTCCAAGCAGGAGTTGCCTGATTGGCAGAGGAGAAGAGGACCCATCAACTCAAAGCCTTTATCTCTTTCTTCTTACATCTCTTTCTGTTTTCCACCTTTCCCTTTAGATTTCAAAGGCCATGGTTGGCCTTTGAGGTTCGAAACCAAGCTATATTTGCAGTATTTACAGCAACACATGCAACAGACTACCTCGAGGCTATGACTCATAAGACAAGTCTTCCTCCCTACAGGAAGCCACTGTCCCAGATGCCAAAGAAGCCGTGGTTGACACCATTTCCCAAGGGAACATCTGCTCTCTATCCAAGCCCCATTGCTTTTTGTCCTGGGCCTCGGGCTCCGCCTCCACCCAATTAAGGTCATTCAGGTACAGAAAGACCTGCTTGTTGGGGGCCAGCCAGGTCCTCTTGGTGTTGACCATTTGGCTGCGGAGTCAAAGAGACACTCCAGCACAACACAGGTGGCCAAACTCCTCCTAAGACTTGAAGTTCCTCAGCTCCTCCACCACCCGGGCATGTCATTCCTCCTGGTCCTCCAGGCCGCTGGTCTGGCAGCAGATCTCAGCCAGCATGCTGTCGATCATGCAGGAGGGCTGAGGCACTGACGTCCCCAAGAGCTTCTTCACGGGATGTTTTTCTGGCAAAAGGTAGATCTTGCATTGGCCAGCCAGTAGTTGCTGTCTTTGACCTTGTCCAGGAGGCCTTGGCCTCTGACCACACAGTTCTCCATCTGCTGCCTCTCGAAGGCAAACAGGAAGGGCAGCATCTTGTAGTGTGGGTCCAGGAAGATGGTGACATTTGGAAACATGCCTATTTTAGGCGTCTCCTGGCAGATCTTGGAGAGCTCCTTGGCAATCATCTTCTTGGCCATGAGGATCTCCTTGGAGTCAGATTCCTTGTTGTTGAACGTGATATTTAGCAGCATGTGAAACAGCAGCTTCACCGTGCTGATGGTAGGATACTTCAAGGCAGACAATATCTCAGCCACTTGCTTGCAGAACTGTAGGAATTCCACCAGCCCCTGGATGGTGGACCACTTGGTAGCCTCCAACATCAGGTCGTGGTTGTTGCTGTCTTCAGATACACCAGGGATAACACACTGCTGCTCCTTGAGTGACTGCAGCATGGCCAGTGTGCTTTCTTATCAGGAGATGATTGCTCACCAGCATGCGGTACCCATGTTTTGCTCTTTCTGCTTCTCTGCGAGAGCATGTCAAAGGCCATGGTGCGCTGCTGGTAGTAGTCCACCAGTGGGCAGCACCAAGAGAGCAGACTCTCCAGATTAAGGAGCTGGAAAGCCTGCTGGAGGCCAGCATAGAAGGTTTGCACAGGTGATGCATTTGAACGGCAATGTTGAGCAAGGAGCACGCCTTCATGATGTCCTTGCCATAGTCGGTGGTGGCCCTGCACTCCTTGGTGCTGATGACACATTTGATGAAGAGCACCAGCATGATGGTTTCTGCTGTGTTCTTTTCGAGCATCTCAAAGGTCTTCAGGCACCTGGAACCCACATACAGGCTGTTAAGGGAGCTGACACTGAGGAAGTGGACAGCCAATATCACCAAGTCTTGATTCTGGTTCTCACTCCTCCACTTGTACCCGGAGATGCCACACCACAAGGCATTGGCCAGCTTCTTCAGGATCACCTTACTGACCCTCCATGCTTCTCAAGGATGGCCTTGGTGGAGATGTACTTTCTGCTCAGGAGCTGGTACCTGGGGTCGGCCATCTTCAGCAGCACCTTGGAAGTGGGCTCATCCTCTCTGGATGTCCTTGCCCCTTGCAGATGAGCGCAAGGACAGTGGACATCAGTTCCTACTGCTGGTTGCTCTCATCACTGTGGCCAGCCTTTGTGGCCAGCGGGTCCTGTGCCAGCTGCTAGGATTACTTGGGCTTCGGTTTGGAGGAGGTGGGAGTGAAGGCTTCCCACATCTGCTGGGTGACTGTGAAACTCTTGGAGGTCATCTCCTTCAGGTGGTAGGACAGGTTGGAGGTGTTTCATAATAAGTGACCTGGGTCAGGCAGATGCAGCAGTAGATTTTATTCCATGGCAAGACTCATGACTTGGTGTTGGTGTTCAAGCTGCAACACTTCCACATCTTGCCGTGGGTGTAGGGGTGGGCCTGTAACTTCAGGTCTATCTGGGAGTTCCAGGTCTTTATTCTCCATTGCTTCTCCATGACACCCTGCCTGCTGAACTTCCACTCACTTGTGGGGACCCAGCTCTAGGAAGGCACCACCCGTCCTTAGGCAGCTGCATAGCAGCTGTGCCACAATCACCAGGGCACCAGCTATGTAGACCTGCAGGGCCATCCCAGGCAGACAGCAAAAGCCATCTTTGTTATTCTGGATATTTCAATCTACGAACATTGTATGTCTCTCCATGTATTTATTTAATAAATACCTTATTTTTTTAATTGACAGATAAAATTATATGTATCATGCACAACATAATGTTTTGAAGTACATATACATTGTGGAATGAGTAGATCTAGCCAATCAGCATATTTATTACCTCACATAGTTAAGATTTTTGTAGTCAAAACCTAATTTTTCAAATGGCTCTGTGTTCTTTTTTTATAGTGTTCTTATTGAAAAGATTTTCAAGTGCCTGGAATTCTCAAAACACTGAATATATTACCTTAATAGAGAAAATTGGCACGGAACTTGTCATATCATGAAATTAAAACTGAGTCTTTCCTTGGGTGCCATGTGTTCTTGTCTTGACTCATCACTTTCATAATTTTTGGTGCCATTGCCATTCACTGAATCCTGTTATCCAAGGATTTGGGAATGAAGTAGAAGCTTGCTATTGCTCAGTTGTGCGCACTGTGGTTATATTTTCCAAAGTGTTGACAAAAACTTTTCTTAAGAATGATAAAATCAAAACTAAAAAAGAATCTCCTGTTCTCTGGGTTTAGACTATAAATACCTGAGATAATAGCTCTTTGTGGGGAAAGCAGTCATTTTAATATACATAAACAGTCAAAAGCTAAAAGAGAGGGTAAAACACATTTAGTTCAATTCATGTATTACAAAGAAGAAAAAAAAAGACCCAAAGATGTTATTTGAGGTCAGTCGGTACAGTGGCTGTTATTGAATTATTCGGTTCCATACAAAAACATTTCCCATCAATACTCTCTAGTATGAGTGCACTTGTTCACTATCATCTTAGTCTTAACAATAGAAGTATTTTCTACTTTTTTTATTGCTTTTCCTTTAAAAAAAAAAAAAAAAGCAGACAGAGCCCTGACCTTTTGAGAATCTATTAAATGTATTAATAGTTTTTATGTTTTTTTATTTGGTTGCTTTATTTTAGCTAAGGCTCATCTTACTTCATTTTATCCACAAGTAAGGCAACTGTGACTAGACTGACCCTGTTGGGTGGGCTGAACTTCTACTCCATACTCAGAGTGAAATAAAATCACAGCACTTTATTGTAAGCCAGTAAAACGCAAACCTACTCCAAAATGCATTGTCAGTTAATTTAGTTTTCTTAAACACATCTTTAAATGTATCTCCTCTCTAGCTCCCAGCTTTTCTCTCATAATTCAGTCTTCAGATTTTTCTTCTTTTTTTATCCACATCTGGCATCTCTGTGTTAGTTACTAAGCTATTGTCTGTCAGCTTCAAACCTTCTCTTCTAGCTCTGTGATGCTGGAACTAGGATTCTGCAAACATGTTTCTCCTTTACCATCTGTTTTCCTGTTAGGTTCTGCTGGTAGAAGAAACTAAAGGGAGACAAGAAAGCAGGAAGAGGAAGAAGGAATTCGCAATTTTCTATTTGCTTTCTATTATTCTCTGGTCACCACAGAAATGCATCCTCACCCTAGAAGCACAGTTGATTGCAGAAGCAAATGATTCCAGATTCAAGCTTTTTTCCACCCATTAGAACTAGCTTTATAATGATACCCCTCACAAGCCAAGAGATACCAGCACAAGCCAAGAGGTTCTAACAGTGCCCGTCCTCCAAGCCCATAAGCTTTTGAGAACCCCAATATTTCCTCTTGGTTCTACCACTACTATGGGATGTAAGCTGCTTCCTGCAGTTACTCTCTGTGTTATCTGAATTCCCTCCAATACCCTTTTAACCAATTCTGCCCCCCACCCACCACCTTTTTATTTTGAGACGTAGTTTCACTCTGTCACCCAGGCTGAAGTGCAGTGGCATGATCTTGGCTCACTGCAACCTCCACCTTCTGGGTTCAAGCAATTCTCCTGACTCAGCCTCCCAAGTAGCTGGGATTACAGGCGTCCGCCATCACGCTAGGCTTTTTTTTTTTTTTTTTTTTTTTTTTTTTTTTTTTAGTAGAGATGGGGCTTCACCATGTTGGCCAGGCTAGTTTCAAACTCCTGACCTCAAGTGATCTGCCCGCCTCATCATTCCAAAGTGCTAGGACTACAGGCATAGCCACCACACCTGGCTCAATTCCCTATGTTAAACTTCCTTGTTAAAATAATTGTTATGGTTTCTCCTTTCGTTATTGGATCCTGAGTAACACATACTCTACATCCATTCTATTGATTCAGGTCTTTTCCTCACCTCTCTCTTGCGTTCCGAACCCCACTTAGTAAAATGTTAAAGGAAGCATTCACCCATAATTCTTTTTTCTCCTACACTCTGGTTTGCTTGTACACCCATAAGTCTTCAAGCATGTCCTTGTGAGCTTCAATTCACCCTGTTCCATCCCTTTTGTCTTTCCGTGTTAAATGATGAACAGAAAAATCCTGCTCAAAGAGAGTAAGTTCAAGATAGTCTTGGTTCTAAAAAGAGAAGCTGAAAACCTGCTATCTTTTGATTGGCTGTCAAGACTCTTCATCAAAGCAGATGTCCCAGACCAATTTCAACAATTCTTCATCTTAAATTCAAGACTTTAAAAAACCTTGACAGACTTGCAGAAGCCTTTCATCTGAGGAACTCAGAAAATCACAGATTGAACATCCCCCATAAAGAAGAAAGGAAAATAAGCCCAAAATGTAGCCCAGACTATGACATTCTTTGAGGACAATTCTGTATGAATTAAAGCTGCAGCCTGTGGACAATTGCTTGAACCCAGGAGTTTGAGACCAGCCTGGGCAACATAGTGGGACCCCATCTCTACAAAAAAATTAAAAATTTAAAAATTAGTTGGGTGTGGTGGTGCACATCTGTAGTACCAGCTACTCAGGAGGCTGAAACAGGAGGATTGCTTAAGACTGAGAGGTCAAGGCTGTAGTGAGCTATGATCTCACCACTATACTCCAGCCTGGGTAACAGAGTGATGTTTCTTTAGTTCCAGAAGTTGTTAACTTTCTGCAAAAACTCCTTTATGAGAAATGATATTCGTGTGGAAAGAATATTCTCTTTATACACTGATGTGTTATTAATTTCACTTCTCTAGGATCAAGCCAGATCATCAGAAAGATTTATATTTAGAATATCCTCTATATCCCCGGCTACTCTTACTGATATAAGCTCTGATATAATGCTTTAGCTTTTGAACAATCACCTGATCAGAAAATTTGATTAACATCCTCTTATATAAAACAATTTGACTAGGCTGGGCGCGGTGGCTCACGCCTGTAATCCCAGCACTTTGGGAGGCCAAGGCAGGTGGATCACTTGAGGTCAGGAGTTCAAGACCAGGCCTGGCATGGCGGCTCATGCCTGTAATCCTAGCACTTTGAGAGGCCAAGGTGGGTAGATTACCTGAGGTCAGGAGTTCCAGACCAGCCTGGCCAACATGGTGAAACTCCGTCTCTACTCGAAATGCAAAAATTAGCTGAGCATGGTAGCAGGCACCTGTAATCCCAGCAACTTGGGAGACTGAGGCAGGAGAATTGCTTGAACTCTTGAACCTGGGAGGTTGCAGTGAGTCAAAATCGCACCACTGTACTCCAGCCTAGGTGAGAGAGCAAGACTTCCCTCTCAAAAAAAAAAAAAAAATGAATGTTCAGAGAAAGACTTACCAATCCTGAATGCTGACTTCCCAAAACATCACTAAGACAACTTATCAAAAGACAAAGCTGAGTGTCAGGTCTCTGAGCCCAAGCGAAGCCATCGCATCCCCTGTGACTTGCACGTATATAGCCAGATGGCCTAAAGTAACTGAAGAATCACAAAAGAAGTGAAAATGCTGTGTCCCGCCTTAACTGATGACATTCACCACAGAAGAAGTGAAAATGGCCGGTCCTTGCTTTAAGTGATGACATTACCTTGTGAAAGTCCTTTTCCTGGCTCATCCTGGCTCAAAAATCTCCCCTACTGAGCACCTTGTGACCCCTATTCCTGCCCGCCAGAGAACAACCTGTAATTTTCCTTTACCTACTCAAATCCTATAAAACGGCCCCACCCTTATCTCCCTTCACTGACTCTCCTTTCGGACTCAGCCCGCCTGCCTCCAGGTTGTAACAGGACTAGCAGCAGACAAAACTCCTCAGACATCGAGTTAAAGAAGGAAGGGGTTTATTCGGCCGGGAGCACCAGCAAGATTTCTGTCTCAAGAGCTGAACTCCCCAGGTGAGCAATTCCTGTCCCTTTTAAGGTCTCACAACTCTAAGGGGGCACATGTGATAGGGTCGTGACTGATTGAGCCAGCAGGGGGTACGTGACTGGGGGCTGCATGCACCAGTAATTAGATCAGAACAAAACAAGATAGGAATTTTCACAGTGTATTTCTATACAATGTCTGTAATCTATAGATAACAGAACCAATTAGGTCAGAGGTCGATGCTTAACTACCAGGCCCAGGGTGCGGCACTGGGCTGTCTGCCTGTGGATTTCATTTCTGCCTTTTATTTTTTACTTCTTCTTTCTTTGGAGGCCGAAACTGGGCATAAGACAATATGAGGGGTAGTCTCCTCCCTTATTCTCCCCTTTTGAGACTCTCACTCATTTTATTAGTGGGAGTTCTCACTTTTATTTTTACT